GGTGGTTGGGTGACCCTCCACGGGGAGAACTACAGTAGCTAAAGGCCCTCCCCCATCCCCCGCAGACACTGCCATGGCAGGGGTTGCTGACACAGGCTTGCCAGTTACCTATTGTAATAAATCTAGATGGGCCTGGTCTGGTCCCTGGTACCGGCGGGAAGTGGAGGGAGGGTTAGTAGAATGCATGGGAGGACGGGATGGACGGATGGCGTGGCGGGGCTGTGGCTGGCTGTCTTGGAAATCATCGTTGTCATACCCTTCAGCAGAGGGCGAAGCGTATGCACGAGCTTCTGATGCAGGGAGCCGGGCTTGGGTGTATTCAGTAGGAGGAGGGGAAGGAGGAGGAGGTGGAGGAAGCTGTGGCAACTGTGGATGGGGCAGGGCAGGGAGGTAACCAGTGGAGGGAAAGTTATAGCCGGTGACCTGGGGACTTGGGTACCGGGGAGCCTGTTGGCGGAACACTCTAGGATGTGGGCAATCTCTTCTAAAATGACCTGGCTGATTACAATTAAAACAGGTCCGGATTGTCGTGATAGTCCGATCCCGGGAGAAGGGAATTGGTGCAGGCAGAGTCTGGGGTGACTGAGTGTACTGTTGGGGGAGTAACTGAGGGGCTTGGTTAGAACCTGCAATTGGGGTAGAGGTAGTGTACATCAGAGGACTGGTTCTTCGCTGTGTGGGTTGCAAAACAGATTCTAAGCCTTTGGCTACCAACAAAATAGTGTCCAGTGGGATAATTCTATACTCAGGGCGAGCTAAAATTAACCCCTTACGAATGTGCTCCCTAAGACCTGCCACAAAAGCTGCAGATAGCATCTGGGTGTGTGCCTTGTTATAGGTGCTGAATCCCAAGTCTGAAAAAGTCTGAGTCAACCTAGAGTGATACTTTTCAACTGTCTCAAGTTTATCCTGAATTATGTCATTTATGCAAGTAGCCTGATCAGCCAGTTTATCCTGTGCCCAGGCTCGAAGCTGTTCACAGAAAATTTCACCAGAACGAAAATCAGTATCAGAAGTAAGTGGAGCGTCGTTAAAGCTCCGTTCCATAATTGGCCAGTATGCATCTCCAGCCTTTATTTCACACAAACTAATAAGATCCCGCCAAGCAGCGGAGTATGTTTTACGGATCTGGGCCATCCTGCGGAAAAAGGGCATGGGGTGTTTCTCAGGATCAGGGAGTGAGGTCACAAGGGTAGCAGCTTGGGAAGGGTTGAAGGTAACATACATGGGTGGTGCACCATCCGCTCCATGGTTAATCTGGGTATAACCCTGGGGGATAGAGTGCCGTTGGGGGTGCCTGTTCCCCCCTAGGCGAGGTGAGCCCTGGTCCACCACAACGACCTCCTCGGGTATCACCGGGCCGCGGTGGAGAGTAGTCTCAGGGGTAGCTGTGGCGGGGGCGGCAGGGAGGCCAGTGATAGGAGAGGTAGTTGGGTGGAAACCTGAGGCCTGGGGGGAAGCACCCATCGCATAGGGTTGGTCCGATGTCACAGACACCTCGGACCCAACCACCATGATTGGATAACTAGGACTGGCGGAAGGGACATGAGGAATTAATGCCGTGGAAGGGGCTGTTATGGGGGCCGTTTGAGATGGGCGTGAGAGGTGGGTATTTAGGAAGTGAGCGAGAGCAGAGATTGGATCGGAAGGCTCGGGGATGCTAGCGGGAGACAAGGAAGGGGTCGGAGGTTCGGGGGGAGGAGGAGGAGGAGGTGGAGGAGGAGGTGGTAAATCAGTGGGAGGCGGCACGGGGATCGCGGAATTAACCAGGGAGGTAACAGCAGAGAAGAGGGCGGATATCGAGCTAGACAGGTCATTGGCCGTGGATGGGTCAGGGGTCACCGGGGGAGGGGTCGGAGGGATGGGACCAGGGGGCTGTGTCGTAATAACGTGGGTGGAGGGTTGGGATGGCAAACCAGTCGGGGGAGGAGGAGACAACAAGGTAGAGGGGGCCGGGACTTCGGGAGGAGGAGGTAACACTGGAGAAGGGGTTGGAGGAGTGGTAACGGGGGGTTGGGTCAGGGCGGTGAGGGCAGAGATTAGGGACGGCAAATCGGCCGAGGGAGGAGGAGGCAACGAGGTAGAGGGGGCCGGGACTTCGGGAGGAGGAGGTAACACTGGAGAAGGGGTTGGAGGAGTGGTAACGGGGGGTTGGGTCAGGGCGGTGAGGGCAGAGATTAGGGACGGCAAATCGGCCGAGGGAGGAGGAGGCAACGAGGTAGAGGGGGCCGGGACTTCGGGAGGAGGAGGCAACACTGTGTGGATAGTGGGAGGGTCCTGGAGGATGGGAGGGGTGTCTGTGCATAAGGGAGCAGAGGCAAGGGGACCGGGATTAACGGGCTGGACAAGATTCATGAGAGTGGAAAGTAGGGATGAGGGATCCTTGGAGGAGAAGGGCGAAGGGGAATGAGAAGGAGGGAAGGGCAGAGAGGGTGAAGGGGTAGGGGTCACGGGACAGGTCAATTTCGAAAGGCTAGCGAGAAGAGAGGAAAGGTCTGGGTCCGGGGGCATGGGTGAAGGAGGGTCCGTGGGGGAACAGGGGTCCGGAGGAACGGGGTCGGTAAAATGGGCAAGGGTCGGGGGAGTTGGGTGTGTAATAGACGAGGAGGGTGAGGGAGCGGGTGTTGCTAGGGACGGGGTACTCGAGGTGGAGAGGGGATGAGAGGAGGGAGAGGAGGGAACTTCGGTGGGTGAGGCGGGAGTAGTCAGGACGGGATCTTGACGAGGATTCGGAGTGGGAACAGGCACTGGGAGAGGTAGCGGAGGACATGGAGGTGGGGGGACTTCAACAGACGTGACGGGAGAATGGTTGATGGAGGGGGCTGGGTCATAGGGGGGTTGGCGCATGGGTGTGGGTGGAAACGAGTGAAGTGGCACTGGGTAATAGTAAGCACCATCCGCACCGAGTACGGGGCACAGGGGGGTGGGAGCTGAAGGCACACCCCCGGGGGGTGGGTTTTGTGCTGTGACGGGGGAAGCAGGGCGGGAATTTACTGTTGCGCTCTGGGCACCATCATAGGGCGGTGGTCGCGGGACAATGGAAACAACATCATCATTGTTAACACTCCTATGGTAAACATACACGATTTGCCCCTCAAACTCCAACTCTTCCTCGACCCATCCTTCCCGTTTCAGACCTCTAGCTACCCGATACCAAGCCTCTGCAACCTTTGTGAGTCCACTATCCAACAACAACCCTTCCTTGTCTATGAGTAACTTCCTCCAAAACTCAGGCTGCAATCTCCCACTGGGCAACATCTGGAAGCCACACACCTTAGCAATCTTTTTAAGTTTCAACATTGCATCTTCCCCTGCCCTTTCTTTCACAATGTCACAAGCCAACAAGCCCTTAGCAGGTCTAGCGTGTTCCTGTCCCATTTTGAGTAAACGAAGCGTGCCACGCGCTAAAGACAGATAAATAGAGGAGGTACAAGGGAAAAAGAATGTCTACAGTGCTCGACTGCCACGAGAACTTGAGCCCCGTGCGTCTTCCCCAAACGTAGACCAGTCACGGAGATCCGCCCACCCGGGGTGGTGGTCACGGACGGGAGCGAATGAGCGTGGGTGACTAACACAGCTCTGGGCAACAGGCACAGGAGAGATAAAGAACAAAGGAGAAAATGAACGTGGCTGCGCTAATGAGAAGACATTTGCAAAAATCACAAACATATAAATGAGCGTAAACTCCGGAATCCAGAACTAACCACACAATACACACACACACAAGGGTACCCACACTGTAACAACAATTAAACAGAAACCACAGAATGATAGAGAGTAAAATGGCCATGTACATGTTAACACCACTGGTGCCAAATATTCAGAGTATAGCAATCCCCAGCCGTCACCCACCAGGCTGGTCCCGGTATGACACAGGTACCAATGAAAACACTGCAATAATCAACCAAAATCCCAGCCCCACCGGCTGTAATGCGTTCCCTGCCCGCTAGGCAGTCAAGCTAACATATAATCCCAGCCCCACCGGCTGTAATGCGTTCCCTGCCCGCTAGGCAGTCAAGCAAACATATAATCCCAGCCCCACCGGCTGTAATGCGTTCCCTGCCCGCTAGGCAGTCAAGCAAACATATAATCCCAGCCCCACCGGCTGTAATGCGTTCCCTGCCCGCTAGGCAGGCAGTCAAGCAAACATATAAAATGCGTTCCCTGCCCGCTAGGCAGTCAAGCAAACATATAAAATGCGTTCCCTGCCCGCTAGGCAGTCAAGCAAACATATAAAATGCGTTCCCTGCCCGCTAGGCAGTCAAGCAAACATATAAAATGCGTTCCCTGCCCGCTAGGCAGTCAAGCAAACATATTTTAAAAGAAGGAGAGACACACAAACATACAGATGAATACAGGAGGCAGATAGACAATCGACAGGTTCACTTTAAAAGGGCACACCGGATGAGTTAATTACCTGTCTCTAGTAGCCTTCTGGAAGCCGGAAGTGGACTCGGAGACAGACCGACACAAAACAGGAGAACAACACAGGCAACGGCTGTATTATGGAGGTGATCAGGCTCCGCTTGTCCCACTTTCCGGAGGTCCGCTCCGGTCCGTTGGTTCCGGCCCTCCGAACCGGCTCTCCCCACGTTGGGCGCCAATTGAAATGGAAAAATCAATCAATACATTGATTATTTCTTTGTGTATCTGCCCCTGGCCAAATCAATGAAACAATGCGTGCACGCTCCCTGAAGTAATTCACACCAGACACAGGTTCCAGGTTGTTGAATAACTTGAGGAAAGTTTATTCAGAGGGGACGGCAGGTCCCTTTTAAAGCAAAATTACATCATAAGCATTGTCAGAGATAACATAGAATAATACATCAATTATTGGTTAGGTGTTAAGTGGTTGCTCTAATGCTCTGCCTACTGAAGTGATATCACCGGGGCCATGAGGGTCTCCCACGGTTTTCCGGCGCCATCTTGCTGCACGAGGTAGTTAGTTGGTGTTTAAGAAGGGAAAGGGGGGGGGGAGGAGGGTTTAGAAGCTTCTAGCAGCCATTTTGATTAAAACATGTGTGCTCAGCTTTATATATGATATATCGTGGAATGAGTAAATAGACATTTTCACTAACTAGGAAATATGTGCAGACCTTATTTCCACAACAACTATATTTTAAGGAAAACAACACAGAAGGTAAATCCTATGCAACGCTATGGTGTGCTTTTACGACTGTGTCAAGAGGATATTTCATAAAACTTAAAAGTAAGATAAACAAAACGGTGCCTTCAGAGCGGAGTTATATTTAGAATACTAAAAATTATTGAGCAGAAATAAAGACCAACTGACAGAAGAAACATTAAATCAATTAAGTGAATTGAGAGAAAATAAATTCCATAGAATTAAAAAGAATAAATAATTATTTAGAGAGGTTGAAAGTTCATTACTATTATGATAATAACAGGATTTCAAGATGGTTAACAAAATAAAAAGGGAAGGGAAAAATAGAATAATATGTTTCAATTAAGAAAAAATACAGAAACCCAGAGAAAATAAGGTTTTTCAAGAATATTACTCCGACTTGTATAACATTGTAAATCGATCTGATGAACAAGGGTTAATTAGCTATGTGAAAGAAATTAATCTTCCCAGAATCACACAGGAGCAAAGTTTAATCCAAAATTCCCCCCTGACTAAATTAGAATTTTAAAAGGCTATTGATAAACTTGCCAATTTTAAAACGCCTGGACCTGACGGTCTGAATAATACATTCTACAGGATGTATTGAGATATGCTAAGCGAACCTTTAACTAATACATTTAATGAGATTGCTATTAAAGGTGCGGCACCGACGGAATTGCTGTGTGCAAATATACTGCCTATTTTGAAGAAAGATAAATATCCACAATAAGTCAAAAACTATCGACCCAAATTTCTTTGATAAATGTTGATTCAAAGCTGTTCTCAGCAATTTTGGCAGAAAGGATAAAGGGAGTGCTCCCACGTTTAATTCATGAAGATCAGTTCGGTTTTGTCCTAAATAGACAAGCAAGTTTGACGTCTGATTGATATACTGGATTGGGGGGAGAGTAGTGGCTGTACTCTGCTGACCCTGTCATTGGATGCAGAGAGGGCCTTTGATAGGGTCGGCTGGGGATATATGTTTAGAGCTTTGGAATCCTTTGGTTTTTGTGGATGGATGTTATTAGCAATAAGATCATTATACCAGGGAGCAACAGCTAGAGTTGTGGGGATAGACTTATGTTCTGAATGGTTTTCACTGAATAATGGTACCCAACAGGGTTGTCCCCTCTCACCAATTTTATACGTTTTATCTATCGAACCTCTTGCTGAAAAAATAAGAAAAAATCCATTTATCAGAGGAGTTCTAACAAACAGGAGTGATTGAAAGTTGTGCATGTATGCGGATGATACTTTAATAACTCTAAACTCTATGCACAAATTAAAATAAGGAATTATAAAAATAAAATAAAAAAACCTCGAATTAGATTAAACCACTTGAGTAATAACCCAAGCCAGGGAGGACTAAATTTCCCAAATATCAAAAAACATTATGAAGCCAGTATAGTTTACCATATACAGACTCTAACTAAAAGGGAGATGAGGGAAACAGGATGGTTTTGACTAGAAACAGACCAACTGATCATAAAATATCTGAACAAAATTATATGGCAGGAAACTGGGTATGGAAAATGTAAAAGAAAGAAATAATAGCATTCTAACTCATATTATTCCAACATGGTCTAAGATTAAAAACACCATGCAGTGCAATGGGAAAATATATGGTTTTATTGAACTGGAGATTTTGGAATCTCTCATAGATGACATAAATTTAGATAAATGGAAAGATAGAAATATTAAGGATAATTTGATGAAGAAAGGGAAAATTAAACCTTTTTCTGTTTTAGTAAAGGAATATGATCTCCCCAATTTTGGGATATTCAGTTATCTAAGAATTCAATCACATATATAAAAAAACAACAAAAAAAAACATCACTTTTATGAAACAGGTTTTTGATCCAATGGCAATCTCTAAACTCTTATCCAAGTCATACGTTCTAATATTATCTACACTACAAAAAAGTCAGTCGAAAATGTTCATTCTCCAACCAGTATCAATACATCACCCAACCCCACTCCCCCTGTCATCCTAAGCTCATTTGCACCTGCTACAGCACAAGAGGTTTCTGCTCTGCTCCTGTCCTCTGCCCCACCACCTGCTCCCTCGATCCTATTCCCTCGCATCTCATCCGCACTTTGTCTCCCTCTCTTGCTCTTCCTCTCGCTAACATTTTCAATCTCTCCCTTTCCTCTGGCACATTTCCCTCTGCCTTCAAACATGCAACCGTAACCCCAATTCTGAAAAAGCCCAACCTTGATCCCAACTCCCCATCCAACTACCGCCCTATCTCGCTACTGCCATTTGCCTCCAAGATCCTTGAGAGAGTTGTCTACGCCAGATTGACAGACTTTCTTGAATCTGCTTGACCCCCTTCAGTCTGGATTCCGCGCTGGTCACTCTGTCAAAACTGCTGTGACCAAAGTATCCAACGATTTAATTGCTGCTAAATCTCGCGGCCAATACTCTATCCTAATCCTCCTTGATCTTTCTGCCGCCTTGGACACTGTTGATCATCAACAGCTTCTTCACATTCTCCGTAACTTTGGCCTACGGGATTCTGCTCTCTCCTGGTGCTCCTCCTACCTCTCCCAGCGCTCCTTCAGTGTTTCTTTCTCTGGCTCTGCCTCTTCTCCCCAACCCCTCCCTGTCGGCGTCCCCCAAGGTTCTGTCCTCGGCCCCCTACTGTTCTCTATCTATACTGCCTCCCTTGGTAAACTCATCAGCTCTTTTGGTGTCCAATACCATTTATATGCAGATGACACGCAAATCTACCTGTCCTCCCCTGATCTCTCTCCGCCCACCTTGACTCGTGTTTCTGACTGCCTCTCTGCTATTTCCAACTGGATGGCTGCTCACTTCCTTAAACTCAACCTGTCCAAAACAGAACTTCTAGTTTTTCCTCCCTCAAGTGCTGCTACTCCTGTGTCTGTCGCCATCCAAGTCAACGGCACTACTATCACCTCTACCTCCCAGGCTCGCTGCCTAGGGGTTCTTTTTGATTCTGATCTCTCTTTTACTCCCCATGTTCAATCAATAGCCAAATCCTGTCGCTTCCAACTCAAGAACATAGCGCGCATCCGCCCATATCTAACGCCGGACGCGGCTAAGGTACTAGTTCATGCTGTTGTTCTCTCTCGCCTTGACTATTGCAATCCCCTTCTCACCGGTCTTACATGTTCCCAGCTTGCACCGCTGCAATCTATAATGAATACGGCTGCGAGGCTTATTTTCCTGTCCGGTCGCACCTCCCACGCCTCCACGCTCTGTCAGTCCCTGCATTGGCTTCCAGTTAGATATAGGGCCCAATTCAAAATTCTGGCGCTTGCTTACAAATCCCTACATAATGCTGCTCCAACATACCTATCCTCCCTCATACACAAGTATGTCCCGTCGAGACCCCTGTGCTCAGCCCAAGACCTACTCCTATCCTCTGCCCGGATCCCCACCTCTGATGCTCGCCTTCAAGACTTCTCCAGGGCTGCACCTATTCTGTGGAACTCCCTTCCCTCCTCAATCAGACTTTCACCCAGCCTCCATTCCTTCAAAAAATCTTTGAAAACTCACTTCTTTATTAAAGCGTATCAATTAAACTGTCAGCAGGTTTCTCATCCCCCACCCCATGACTCCGTTCCTTCACCTGTCAAAAATGACCTACCAAGCACTCAATAAACCCTTCTGTAACAAACTATTTAATTCCCCTACTTTAACCCTTTGTGTCACTATACCCCACTCCCTCTAGCATGCAAGCTCATCGAGCAGGGCCCTCAACCCCCTCTGTTCCTGTACGTTAGTGGTCTGATCTCAATTATGTGTTTGTTAGTCCACCCATTGTTCAGCGCTACGGAATTTGTTGGCGCTATATAAATAATAAAATAATAATAATAATTATTAAGTGGGAAACATAACTTAATATTAAAATCAAACATACTATATGGGGGGGGGGGGGAGGAGTATTTATCCATAATATATCTTTAAGAGAAACGTTTTATAAAATATGTAACAGATGGTATATTGTACCAACACGATTGAACAGAATAGATCCTAATGCATCAAAGATGTGCTGGAGATGTATGGAAAGGGTAGGTAGTTACATACATATATGGTGAAATTGCCCAAAAATTAAAAAAACTTTGGGATCAGATATATAGATATGTATAGATTTGATAAGATTAAAATTGATAAAAAATCCCCCGGCAGCATTATTACATTTGGGTTAGCCAATCTTGAAACCATCTCAATTTTATCTGGTCGTACACTGCTTTATGGTCATAAAGATTCTGATGGTGAGAAGATGGAATCAATCTATGGAAATTAGTTACATACATTTGAAAGAGCAGTTTATATTATAATTAAGGACATCAATTCCTCAGCGAAGAATAAAAAACTAAGAGAGAACTGTCTTACAAAAGCACTTGCACTTTCATAGACATACTTACCCAGAAACGTTTAATATGATTTATAATCCCCTAAGGAAGGGGAAGACACTATTTATTCCTCCCAGAACTCTTGGCCAATACTCCTCTCAATTGTAATGTGTAAGAGTTTGTCTTGTTAATGTTTATATTTGTAAAGTATGTTTTTGTATGTATTTTGTATTATATGAATGGAAAAAGAAAAATAATAAAAATGTTTAAGAAAAAAAAAAAATCACAACCAATGCAGAACCACACTCATTGTCTGAGCTGGTTAAGCTGACACTCTGAGCTCTGTTGAGGAGGGGGACAGTCCGCAGAAGCCACCCTCCTGCATCCAAAAGGTAGGAAAGAAGAGGTGTACATTGTGACCTACATGTGTCCGTCTGTGTATAGATGTCAGCTTCTCGCCAGCTCTACATACAAATACACATTCACTAATACATACTCCATGCAAAAACATGCCTGCATTCAAATACACAAACACTGCTCAGTGCTAAATACAACCCTGCAAGGATGGACAAATGGTTGATCCGCAGCTGGAAAAGCATCGTAAGAGTTGTACAACAGATGGTGGTGTGGCCACGCTTGTGCACTAGGGCCCTCTCGATGATGGTTCTGCCACTGATCCATGTACAATGGTTCATTGCAGCCTTGAGAACATTTGGTTAATCGTATTTTATCTGACTTTGCATTACCGGTATGCTGCCATTTATTTGACAGAAATTGGTTAAATCTCCATATGGCTATTTGTAATTCTCCAATTGCAATTTGGGTAATTCCACTGCAGCGTTTAGTTTAATTTTAGACATGATCAAGGCCTTTGACAGAAACAGAGGTAGTGACCCCAACCGGTGTACCAGGGTTGATTTTGGTTTGCCCCTTCTTTTCACTAGAGTGTTATACCTTACTGTTACTTTAGCTCGGTTCTGTTACAATTTGTTTAAATAAAATGTGTGTGTGTGAATATAGTGTACTACAAATTAAAGCTGTTACATTTGCAAAAGGGAGAATAATTCTAAGCAAAAGTTCTAATCCACATACCCACACAGGAAGTGTGGCATAGGATTGATCTATGCACCAAAACCACTTCATTGAGTTGAACACACTTCATGAAAACATGAGGAAAACTCCATTAATCAGTGATATAAAGTGGCACTTGTTTTGAAACAGTGTGGAGGTATCCATTTTCATACTTTAATAAAGATAAATGCCTTAGAAGTAAATGCAAAAAAATACATACTTTTGACAGCCCTGCATTTGCTGCAAATAGTCAGGCTTTTGCAACTTCTGCAGTGGCCTATCACAGATACAGTAACTGACTTTACCAATCCTTATGCTGCCATAGCTTTAAAGTGGAATTCCAGACCTATAGAACAATGATTGCACAGAAAGTTAGTGTAGGAGGGTTCTCCTGCTCTCTTGTCACTTAGTCCTAGCTTAAACCTCTATGCGGAGAAATGATTGACAGGAGGAGAGGGACCCTATATACATCGCTTGTATTTCTGCTATCATAATGTAACCTGATGTGTGTACCAGGTAGTTGCTGGCTTCGAAGGTTTGGATGTTAAATAAATAAGTTTGACATGCTCCTCCTCCACCATCAGTGAATGGAGGGGGGAGGGACCTAATGCGCATGCACGGCTAACTGCAGGAAGCCCATCTATGGTTGTCTGGGAGACTGCAACTAGAGGCAGTTTTAACCCATTAATGTAAAGAATGCCATTTCTCAAAAACTGCAATGTTTTCCATTGCAGGGGTAACAAGAGAGACACTGCAGCCAGACCACCTCAATAAGAAGTGCCTAGAGTATGCATTTAAATACATTTCTTGCATGCTGATGATCAAAACAGATTAGTGTATTTGTTTTGCTACGGGCCCAAAGATATGAAATTAGTTTGAAAGGTGGAGACAGGAGCAGGATAATTTAATCAGACCTGAAAGTAAGAGGTATACATGAGCGGAAATCTTTAGCAGGCTTTTGGTGTGAGGCTTGTTAGGCCAGAGCAGCTGTGAACTTGACCAAGGTAGTGCTTCTAAAGATTAATATCCTCCCACTACTGAACTTAAAGGGACACTGTCCAAATATAATAAAAATCTCCGTTTAGTAGGTACACCCACTATGAAAACATGCATGCATTGAATTATGTATTTTTGTTTTGGTGTATATTTTAAAAACAGCTTTAACACCTGCAGTTCTGCAGCCTTTGCGACCCTTCCCCCTTCTAACCCCAGTCACAGACTTCCCAGTACAGCTCCGTATAAAGTCTTTGCAAGGCAGGTGCTCTGAGCAATTTCTAGCCTCAGCAAGTTAAAGTGCCTTAGGGGTCTGGAATATCCCTTTAAGGGCAGGTTAGTGAATGGATTACCATAAACATGAGCTTTTCTAGAAAAGTAACTAGTCACCTCTCACAGGGGAAGGGGCGAGGGGCAAAGACGCTGAGGTTTAATCTTTCAATTAACCTATGTACAACATAAAAGGCAAGCTCTACTCCTTGGAACTTAAAAAGAACTCGGCAAAGGTGAACCAGGAAACCAGAACATTTGAAAAAAAAAAAAGGTTTTTTTTTTTTATTGAGTGCAATGTAGAACACAGTGCTTTACCACAAGTTTACAGACTCTAACAAAGCTTCAATTTATAAAAAGTAGCTACGTATCGGGTCCCAAGAGAAACCCAGGGAAGTATCTTAAAATAAAACAGCCTCACTAGACTTTTAATAAAGGGAAACTTTGCCAGAGCACAGGAGTTGGTCATTCACGTCCAATCATGTACCCAGCCGTCTCTGGATCAGGGCGGCATCTAGCCATTTAACAGTTCATGAATCTTGGAGTTTGTTTTGCGGGAAACCTGATTAATAATTGGAAGATTTGAGTTGGTTTTTTTTGTCAATGTTTACATAGTTTGTTAAAAAATACAGCAAAAATATCGCTTTGAAAATAGGAAAAGAAAAATACTCTGTGTGTAACTAAGTTAAGGTCTTGCTTGACGTTGTTCATGGCCGCTCGGCTCCAGACTGTGTAGCGGCTGGCGATCTCAGATTTTCAGTCATTTATTAAGGCCAAAATCATGCTGTGGGAAGTGGTAATGAAATATAGTTAGAAAGCAGGTTTCAAAGAGATTTACAGTGAACATAACAAGGTTAGCAAAGCACAAGTGCTCAAAACACATAACTTAATGCATTACACTGCGGCTGGCCGGGAAGCAAAACTACAAGTCTACATGCGATTTCTAAAGCTGTGTCAGGTGAGATTCTACCTCCTCAAAAAGAGGATTCTTGGATTAACCAGCACGTAGTTCTCCAGTGTAGGAATGTATGTAATTACTATAATCCGTGTACATCATTGCTACATTATATGTCCCAGGTTAGTATACCAGGATGCTAGATTACATTATAGATGCCTTCACAAAGGTAGTTCTGAGGTCAGATTATGTTAAATAGGACGCAATGCGTGTCTCTGTGTTAATTTTGTCCTATCACACATATCCCCCTTACAGTATGACGGGGTAAATTATAGAACGGATTTGATTTCAGGGTACTCACATCCAACTCAGATTTTACCCCTTGATCTCTGATTCTCAGAGAGAACTATCTGAAAACTACTAAAAGATTAGAGTCCGATCCATTTAAACCATAATATTCTGTTTTTAATATCAAGGACTAGGACATATCCAATGGGATTTCAACTGCTGCTGTTCTGGTTTGGGGTTCTGGGAAGCAAAGAACATTTATTTATTTTTAAATCCCTTCTTGTGAAATCTCTCACACAGTGAGACAAGTAGTAGAATTTTCTGAACCAGAAGCAGCACTGAATAAAGGTTAATATGAAATATTAGCTGGTATTCCACTAACCGGCCATGGAATTCTTTCACTTTTGGAGTGAATCTGGCAAGAAAACGGACACTGTGACATTTTCTAAACAGGGACATTTCAGCTGCAGATTGATCTAGACAGAAATCCAGAAAACTTTAATCTAGACCAGGTGTAGTCAACCTTTGGCACTCCAGATGTTTTGGACTACAGCTCCCATGATGCTTTGCCATCATTATGGTTGTAAGAGCATTGAGGGGGATGTAGTCCACAACATCTGGAGTGACTAAGGTTGCCTAACCCTGCTCTAGACTGAAGATTCTACCTTGCAGGTTGCACTGCCCACAGCATAGAATTCTGGGCTACAGCAGCTCTTGGGAAACATGCGCAGGACACAAAACTTATCTATACTGTCACATTTAAAGGGAGTAAAAAGTATTTATAGAATGTGCTCCCACTTTTATTTTTTTAAACTTGTGAGCAGTGAAGAGTACTAACAGACTGATAGACACCTGTTCACAACCCAACAAATCTGCCACCTACAGGTGCTGTGCAAGCAAGTGAAAAGGCAGCTTTCTATGACTCCGTATGTGTGTCTGCATGGTGGTAATTGTTGAGATCATACGAGACAGTATCACTACACAAGCAGCATAGATTCAATTATAACTGCCTAACATGATGAATACACGTTTGTTCTTTTTAATTTTGTAACTTTGCACTGTAAATCTGCTTAGCCCTAGAACATTGTTACCAATACCAAGCAGAAGCAGATACACTAATATCAGCACAGCCGGAGTATGCTTGGATGAGCACCATTTAACCTGCTCATAAATCCAAGAGTACTGACCTGTATAGGTAAATAAAGAAGCACAGGAGATGGAACCCAAGTTTGATCATGGCTTCCTTCATGTGTGACTTGAGCTGCCCCCTGTTGTGAATCTCTGTTGGATCAAATACTCCAAGGTTTCCACTTGGCACCATGATAAACCTGGCGTTTCAAGAAACAAGACTTAATGGGTTATTTACATTAAATGGACACATCGGGTAACAGTTACTAATGCCGAGCGGGTGTTTTTAGATTTAACAAAAAAAATTAAAAAGCCCAATTTGTCCGCCCCTTCACTCATAAATTACAAACCCAGCCTCTGTTTTTGCTCCAACAATACAGCTGAGTGTTATAGAGCTGGATGAGGGTTATAGAGTTGTAGTTCAATTGTCACCTTTGTACTGGAAAACTGATAATTAATAGGAATTGTTACTATTACTTACAGGAAGAAAAAAAAATATTAACGTCACGAGTTGGAAAAAATAAAAATCAATCTATAAATAGAGAGTAAATAAGAATCCCAGCACTTTGTATGTCCCGGAAGGAATCCCTTTATTGGTATCCTATACTGCTGGCAGTGTTGCATTCATCAAATTATTATACAATATGCATTTCTTACAGTATGGACAAACAGTGATACACACATTCCAAAAAACGCAATCTGACAAGTATAGCACCTTCACAAACTGAGCTATAACGTACAAGGTTTCCTTGGGAACGCATATAATCTATTCATGTGTTGTGTAAATACAATCAGTAACATTGTTTAAAGGGACACTCCACTGCCCAAATTCAAAATAAATAAAAGTCCCTGTTTAGTATTTAATTAACTTCATCCCTGGGGTACTGCAAGTTATTTTCCCGGTGCTAGGATGAGAGATCTCCCTCTCCGGCCTGCTAGCACTTTGGTGACAGCCGGCAGAGTGTGAGAGAGGGGACCCGGGGAGCTCTAACCTGCAGCTCCGCCGGGTTCCCCTCTCACAAGCTCAGAGCGTTACCGGAGTTACCACGGCAATTCTCCAATCTCGCGATAGTCAACTCTAGCAGCTCTTGAGGTACCACCAGGGCTTGCAAGAAATGGTAGGCAAGGGAGGACATCATTTTTATTATATATATTAATTTGTTCTCCTACCCCACAGGCCCAACACCACACAATAGCCCCACACACTGAAGCTTTAAAGGTCTAGAGTGTCACTTTTAGAGACTTAGAATAGAGGAATCTGTTACGAAGTTGCTTCTTGATTGACAATCTTCCAGTTAATTAACCAGCCATGGTTAGATACACATTCACAAAGCAGCATGGTTTCAGATTGATCTGTGTGGAATAAAAGGAACGTGGAAGTTAAAGGGATACTATAGTGCCAGGAAAGCAAAGCTGTTTTCCTGACACTAGAATCCTGCAGTGCCCCCCCTCCCCCTTCCCACATGGCTGAATGGTTTAACACACCTTTAGTCACTTACCTGAATCCAGCACTGATGTCCCTTGGCGTTGAGTCAGGCTCCAACCACGCTCCTCCCCTGCTGACTTCCGCCCGCGGCGGAAACCTAATGGGCAAGCGCGGCAATGGCCACGCATGCATTAGGATTTCCACATATGAAAGCATTATTCAAGGCTTCCTATGGGGAAAATCTGATGCTGGAGGTCCTCATGTAAAGGTCCATTTCAATTCTGGAAGTCCCTCTAAACAGCCACTAGAGGAGGAGTCAACCCTCAGAGGTAAGGACTGCAGTTTCTTAGAAACTGCAATAATTACCACTGGAGGGTTAAGGGACATGGGACATTGCACCCAGACCACTTCAAGGGAAACTAATGACATTGATTCAATGTACATATTGAGCTTTGTTGTGAAAGGCATTTTGGAATCGTGAGAGCTCTATCTGGGAGCTGGTTATAAAATACAGACTTTTAAAGAGAATAGAAATGAATAATGCAAGTTTCAAAACTTTTACACAAACATTTTTATATAAACAAAAAACACATCTTGCAGTCACTTTAAAAGGCATAGCTAGAAAGGTGCGCTGCAGGAACCACTTCCTTGTTTACAGATAACACAGCAATAACCTCATTCTATGAATTGTGTAATGCAGAACAGGGATGGGAAGGCTTGGGGGAGGAGATCTGCCGTTTAGTATATATTTATATCTAAACACTTGGCGGTTATTTTGCCCTCAAAACTTAGATATCAAGAATTTACCTAAATGGAAGGAGATTTGTCATTCACAACAATATAGTTACATTTTAAGCTACCTTTTTAATACATTATCATTTCTTAAAAAGAAGTTACAGTCCTATTAATTTATTCTTCCACAGATCATTAAGCAGAGGGGAAAAAGCAATCAGTTTTAGAAAATGCACTTCGTACTGCATACATGCAGGGAGTGCTCTGAGATTGCGCAGTTTTCGAAGCATACTGTCGTCTCACCTACTTCAGCGTCCTCTTCCCGACCTGCGACATTTTGAATCCATTACATCAAACTGACCACATCTAGTTACAAAAAAATCCTTACTAACACCGCTAACCTTGATCCTGGTGAAAGAGCACTCTCCCTCTGTTGTTTCACCAATGGGTTGTAAAAGTTGAGGAAATTAAAGCATCCCATTACTAGAGACGGGTACAGTAATGTACGTATTGTACGCAGTACTGGAGACCGTATCTCCAGAAGGATATTGATACTTTAGAGAGGGTTCAGAGAAGGGTGATACACACATAAACTGGTTCATGGATTGCGGGATAAAACTTACCAGGAAAGGTTAAAGGATCTTAACATGTATAGCTTGGAGGAAAGACGAGACAGGGGGGATATGATAGAAACATTTCAATATATAAAGAAGAAAAACTACCACAACAAGAGGACATAGTCTTAAATTAGAGGGACAAAGGTTTGAAAATAATATCAGGAAGTATTACATTACTGAGAGGGTAGTGGATGCATGGAATAGCCTTCCAGCTGAAGTGGTAGAGCTTAACACAGTAAAGGAGTTTAAGCATGCGTGGGATAGGCATAAGGCTATCCTAACTATAAGATAAGGCCAGGGACTAATGAAAGTATTTAGAAAATTGGGCAGACTAGATGGGCCGAATGGTTCTTATCTGCAGTCACATTCTATGTATCGGTCTACTTGGTTCCCATGGTTCGAATATTTAAGTTAGGAGCCTGGAGTTGGAGCTGCGTGGAGGTTGTTTTCCCACTCTCTGTCCCTCGACTCCTATATTCATATCTTTCTTTCCCTCTTTCAGCTAAGCCATCAATTATTTTTTTACCCACTTTTTCCCTGTGGTTTGGAGTTCCCTCATAGTTCTGCTTATTCTCTTTATTTGCGGTATCCAAGAGGGTTTATGTACACCTCAGGGATTTTGACCAATCACGCATCATTTGTACTATTGTGTTAATTCAATGTGTCCTTGTGCTTTTGATCCCAATGTCTGTATTGTACTCTGACGTATTTTTTCACAGTCTTATTCTATAACCTGCATGGGAATCCTCTCTGACGTCTCACTATTTATTATTTTTAAAAACTTGCTAAATAAAGTTTGATTTAAAAAAATGCACTTTGTAATGTGGTGTTGTGTTTTGGGACAGACGCAGATTTTGTTTGTACAATGTAAAACGTGTGACTACTCCAGAAACACAAACCCCAAGTTTTTGGGATTCAAAAACAGAATTGTAAATTTTAGTCTAAAACTGTGACTACAAGCTGTGAATACAAATATTAAGATTTCATCTCACTACAATTCAGTGTTATCCATAAAAGGCTCTATTTAGCATTCGGTGTTAATTTTCTAAAGTAGGACTTTCATTGCCAGTTTTATTCACAATGTCTGGTGACAAAACGCGATTATTTTAGAACATACAAGGGCCAAAAGATAGACCTTTATTAGTTGTAGAACCATAAAAGGAAGTAGGTCTAAAGCAAAGTGGATCTATCTTTTGTAATCCATGTTTCAAAAGAAAAATAAATAAATAATAATTTAAGATTAGATTCAAAAACCCTCAATGTAATGGAACAGCTCATCCACTTTTACTCACCGATAAATATTCCATGTGGCTACCGGTAAATTCAAGATAAAGATGATCCAATGTAACGATACAAGCATCAAAACGGTCACCAGCGTATGGCATATCAGCTCTGGGCGCACCCACTGCCGGGAGAGCAAAGTATTCACAATAAGAACAATCAGAATGTTTTGTAGAGGTTTTCAGCTCAGTGTGGAAGCTGTGCCCAACATCCTAGGGGTTTGGGAAACAGGACCACAAGATGCATGCAAGAGTCAGAATCACACGTCCTTATATGGGTCCATTACATTAGATACCAAAAACATGATGTGGTTGGCTACACATTGAAGATTGGGTTGTAAGCTCTGTCATAGCTGAACATGTGAAATAAAGAAGACCAGTCAATTTCCCGAAAATCAATCCATGCAGCCACAGTTTCCCAAGGTCTTATTTATATAATATCTCTATATCAGTAGAATTGAGGAATTGCTACATTATGAGCCAAAGAAAGGGTTAAATCGATCATGATATTAATTTAGCGATTTCTATAAGAAACAAGATTATGAATTGAAATGCAATCCTGATTGATTTTTTTGTGTGTCCTGAATTCCACTGCTGATCTGACAAATCTAGTAAGGGCTACATAAGGACTAGTTTGGAATCATCACGATAAAGTAAAAATAGGCAGTGAAACAAAAATCACATTTTTATTGCTGCTTTAAATCAGGCTTCCCCAGACTCCGGCCCTGCAGATGTTGCTGAACTACAACTCCCATGATTCTCAGCCTACCTATTTCATTCATGGAATCATGGGAGTTGTAGTTCAGCAACATCTGGAGGGCCGGAGTTTGGGGAAGCCTGCTTTAAGTGGTCACGCCAAGCATTATAATCACTACAGACCCAGGAGTACCCTGATCCAGTTTCTTCTGCAAACGTTTGCTCTCTTACTGGGTTCCCTGCTGGGTTTCAATTCTGGTGTTCTGGTGACGCACTTTCGGCCATTGCCACGTAAGTCGTACAGAATTTACATTAGCCAGCCAGGAACTCAAGGTTGGATGATGCCCCCCCCAATAACGCTGCCAGAGGGATTAAATTGCGAATGTGCAGCTTTTCATAATGAACCGCTGCATACACACACTCCAGGCACCATAACCATTTCAAATAACTAGAAACGGAACAGAATAGAGACATCTAAGGGTTTACTCACTACGCAACAAATTGAAAACCAGATTCCAAGTTCCAGAAATTCCGCCTAAATTTTTAGATTTCGTTTTAATTCCCTACAATTTGGTGTCCCTCCCTACACTTGCTTTGCGCACATATTTTTCAGTCTGGATAAAGTACACGATTACAAAAACTCGCATAGAATATTGGTATTGCCTGCACCCAAATAAAAATCACATTTAACAAATCAAAAAGGAGAAAGAAAGCCACTGTACCTTGTTTAGTTTGGAGCAACATGACCGGGCATTGATGTAGTCACATTCTAAATCTGACAATGTTATTATCTAGAACTCAAGATAAGGAGAAGATTCCATTCAACAGCCAACAAAGAACAAGGTACAAAGTCTGGGGATCTTTATTGCATTAAATAATACAAGAACACATAATCAATGGTGACATTGTAACATTTAGACACCAGGAAATTCAGAAAGCTGTTGATTAGCCACATGTATCTCTCCTGGTTAAATGCTTAGAGAAGGATTATTCACAGGGAGAGAGCGGTCAGTTATCGGATTGGTCTATGGGTTTACACTTAATCTAGGAAGAATGCCTTACCTGACTGGACTTACTTGAGTTAAAGGTCAAGTTTGGGCATAAGATTGAAATATTTCTTATTGGGGTCCAGGATTAGGGATCTAGGGGTATCCAGGGATATATTTGGGTGTGTGTGGGGGGGGGGGTTCTCAAAGTTAAAGCTGCAAATTATAAAATCCTCAATATTTCCCTACAGGGAATAACATGCCATAGAACGTGATCTCACCTAACAGTGTGTGAAAGGTAAATCAAACAGCTTATGATGTGAGGATTAGTCCTCTCTGTGTTAGATGTAACCTGCCTGTGCCCTGTATAACACTAGATCAGGGTTGGTAACAATGTAACATAGTGATCTAGGATGGAAAAGGACTATGAGCAAGTCATATGGCACAGATAACACAAATATCTTACAGGCTGGGGTTAGGGCTGGCACTCTCACCCCCAGGGGCTGGCACTCTCACCCCCAGGGGCTGGCACTCTCACCCCCAGGGGCTGGCACTCTCACCCCCAGGGGCTGGCACTCTCACCCCAGGAGCTTGCACTCTAACATTAAACCACCTGCAACCCTGGGGTGACCAATGTCAGACTGTCCCTCAGCTCAGGGAATCTCCCAAAGGGGGATCTGGCATTTGTCCACAGGGGCCAGAGATAATCCCATGGGATGACATGGGGGAGGAGAGGGGGCTCCCCGGGGGGATCAGCCGGTAAAGGATACGAAGTAGACGGAGAGGAAGATGAGGGCGCAGCAATCAATGAGAGAGAAGATGAAGAGCGCGGCCTCCATCCCGCCGCTTCACTCCGCCGCTCCTTCACTACGTCACGTGACCGCGGCCGCAAGGGATGCCGGGACTTGTAGTATTCAGCCATCACGTGCTCATTTCATAGTTGCTACAGGATCCATTCATTCCTTCACTGTCTGTCAGGATCCATTCATTCCTTCACTGTCTGTCAGGAACCATTCATCCCTTCACTGTCTGTCAGGATCCATTCATTCCTTCACTGTCTGTCAGGATCCATTCATTCCTTCACTGTCAGGATCCCCTTCACTGTCTGTCAGGATCCATTCATTCCTTCACTGTCTGTCAGGATCCATTCATTCCTTCACTGTGTGTCAGGATCCATTCATTCCTTCACTGTCTGTCAGGATCCATTCATTCCTTCACTGTCTGTCAGGATCCATTCATTCCTCACGGTCTGTCAGGATCCATTCATTCCTTCACTGAATGTCAAGATCAATTCATTCCTTCAATGTCTGTCAGGATCTATTCATTCCTTCACTGTCTGTCATGATCCATTCATTCCTTCACTGTCTGTCAGGATCTATTCATCCCTTCACTGTCTGACAGGATCCATTCATTCCTTCACTGTCTGTCAGGATCCATTCATTCCTTCACTGTCTGTCATGATCCATTCATTCCTTCACTGTCTGTCAGGAACCATTCATCCCTTCACTGTCTGACAGGATCCATTCATTCCTTCACTGTCTGTCAGGATCCATTCATTCCTTCACTGTCTGTCAGGATCTATTCATTCCTTCATTGTCTGTCAGGATACATTCATTCCTTCACTGTCTGTCAGGATCTATTCATTCCTTCAATGTCTGTCAGGATCTATTCATTCCTTCACTGTCTGTCAGGAACCATTCATTCCTTCACTGTCTGTCAGGATCCATTCATTCCTCACGGTCTGTCAGGATCCATTCATTCCTTCACTGAATGTCAAGATCAATTCATTCCTTCAATGTCTGTCAGGATCTATTCATTCCTTCACTGTCTGTCATGATCCATTCATTCCTTCACTGTCTGTCAGGATCTATTCATTCCTTCACTGCCTGTCAGGATCCATTCATTCCTTCACTGTCTACCAGTATCCATTCATTCCTTCACTGTCTGTCAGGATTCATTCATTCCTTCACTGTCAGGATCTATTCATTCCTTCACTGTCTGTCAGGATCCATTCATTCCTTCACTGTCTGTCAGGATCTATTCATTCCTTCACTGTCTGTCAGGATCCATTCATTCCTTCACTGTCTACCAGTATCCATTCATTCCTTCACTGTCTGTCAGGATTCATTCATTCCTTCACTGTCTGTCAGGATCCATTCATTCCTTCACTGTCTGTCAGGATCCATTCATTCCTTCACTGTCTGTCAGGATTCATTCATCCCTTCACTGTCTGTCAGGATCCATTCATTCCTTCACTGTCTGTCAGGATCTATTCATTCCTTCACTGTCTGTCAGGATCTATTCATTCCTTCACTGTCTGTCAGGATCCATTCATTCCTTCACTGTCTGTCAGGATCCATTCATTTCTTCACTGTCTGTCAGGATCTATTCATTCCTTCACTGTCTGTCAGGATCCATTCATTCCTTCACTGTCTACCAGGATCCATTCATTCCTTCACTGTCTGTCAGGATCTATTCATTCCTTCACTGTCTGCCAGGATCCATTCATTCCTTCACTGTCTGTCAGGATCCATTCATTCCTTCACTGTCTGCCAGGATCCATTCATTCCTTCACTGTCTGTCAGGTCCCATTAATTCAGTCACTGTCTATCAGGATCCATTCACTCTGTCATTCTCTATCAGGATCCATTAACTAGTTAAATGTAGTAATGTATTTTTTTTTTTTTTTTTTTTTTAAACACCTTACTTATACAGGGAAAGTTTCTGAAATGAAAAATATAGGCCAGATATGAATGCATTACATTATTAAAACACCTATATAGAATAGAATAGTTACATAGTGCACAGATACAAAAAGACAGATAGTTTAAACAAAACAAAAACGATCCAAATCTCCTTCATCTAAAAAAATCTCATATATTATAGGAAAATCTTAATCTTATAAACAACCTTTACAAAAAAATGACAGATCTCAAAATCTGCCTTAATTTCAAATGCTTGCAGAGACTGTCATTTAAAAAGCCAGCCCATCCCTTGCTGACCCAACTTATTATTATTATTTTTAAATCCTCTCTGCTTCAATTTTTACAAACTTGCTCTTCTAATACAAAAATAATGTAATTTTGGGACCTGTATTGTGAAAATTCCGAAAATGTGCGGAAAGTGAATGTTTTTCAAAGCTATTCTTTATATTTCCAACATACCCTTCTATCCTAATGTGTGAATCCTGTATCATCCCCATCTTTATTCGTTTATTGCTTAGTTTGTTTCATGAACAGATTTTCTCTATTAATGCTATCACCTTCTTTAACTTTTTAAGAATATTCAAATCATATTTTTCATCTAAAAATGCCCCTATTTCTTTGTGATTAAACCTTATAGATTGTATTTTCCAGACCTATTACTTTTTACAAAGTAAACACAGAACTACAAATGTATACAAATAAATAAACTTTGTAATAATGTTTCTAAACATTCAGTGTTCCATTCAATTCACAGTTATTGAAAACCCATGGCATGCTGCTTGTGTTCTCTGTTTGTGACAAATAAAGTTGTAAAGTTCATTTTGGCTGGCTTAATAACTGCCCTCCATAATATTTCTACAAACAGTAACTAATGAATGTAACAGTACAAATGGCACAAAATACAGAAATAATAACTTGAATATCACTCTGGATCCCTGGCTTCCCAAATCAGAAAGTGACTAGAATTGGGCATTGAGTGGGTGCTGTGATCAGGCATTGCATGGGGCAGCCCTCAGTGAGGACCCCGCTCACACGTGCTGTTCCTGAGTCTTGTGGCACTTCCGGGTAGGGAGATCTGCAAGGAGCATCATGAAACCGGTCTCTGGATCTCCAGGGATAGACAGGAGACTGAAACACAGGCTTGAACAGGTCACTAAATATCATTAAATAAAGTGTCAGTGTGGGGTTTGGGGTGATTGCTCTTAGAGAATAGGTAATGGGAATTAAGAGAAAGGTGAGCTTGCATTCCAGAGGCTGAGGACTCTCAATAATAATGCTCTGAGGATGATGGGAGTTGCAGCCTACATCATCTGGAGTGTCTGTGCTTTCCAAGGGTTATACTTGGATTAAATGGAGTTAGTCTCAGATTTAATTTCTGGGAGTTGTCACTCCAGCACTTAATATAATTCTGGCAGAGAATGATGGGAGTTGTATCCAATCTTTTAAAGCATGCTAGTGCTGTATTGTGATGAGCTCTGTAAAACATATACCGTGTTTCTCCGAAAATAAGACCGGGTCTTATATTAATTTTAGTCACAAAAAGCACACTAGGGCTTATTTTCAGGGTAGGGCTTAGAGCCAGTCTGTCTGCGCTGTGTAACCCCCCCCCAGAGACCCTCACCTCCCCCTCCTGTAATATTCTCCCTCCTCACTCCTGTAATACTCTCCCTCCCTCCCTGTAATATTCTCCCTCCCTCCTGTAATACTCTCCCCCCCTCCCTCCTGTCATATATCCCGTCCCTCCTCCCTGTAATATTATCTCTCCCTCCTGTAATATTATTCCCCTCCTCCTCGTAATATCCCCCCTCCTGTAATACTTCTCCCTTCCTCCCTGTAATATTATCCCTCCCTCCCAGTAATATTATCCCCTCCCTCCTGTAATATTATCCCCCTCCCTCCCTGTAATATTATCCTCCCTCCCTGTAATATTATCCTCCCCTCCCTCCCTGTAATATTATCCCCCCCCTCCCTCTGTAATATTATCCCCCCCAATCTTCTCCTCACCTCCCCTGTAGCGTGGCCGAGCTCCTTTCCGGTCCGCGACCCGGCCGGACTGACAGGAAGTGCACACCCAGTGTCCACTTCCTGTCAGTCCGGGCGGACCGGATTGGAGCTCGGCCACGCTACAGGGAAGGGGAGGTGAGGCAGTGCGGCAGCCGTCTGAGCGCTCTTTATAGAGCGCTCAGTCGGCTGTGGCATTTAAAGGGCCGGCAGCCGCCGGCCCTGCCTAGGTCTTATTTTCGGGGTAGGGCATATATTGCAGCCCACCCCGATAATCCAGCTAGGGCTTATTTTCGGGGTAGGTCTTATTTTCGGGGAAACACGGTATGCTAGAAAACTGATCAACATAGTTGTGGGCATAACACAGGCAGAATAATAATATAATATACAATGTATCAGTACCACATACAGATGTACACTATTATACATAGGAATGTGTACAGTGCTGATGGAGTGTAATTTTCTATATTACTGTTAATTTTTCTGGTTTGCCTTCATAGTCAAACAGAGAGGGCAGAAAGTTGCACAAGATCCTGTTTTCTAGAGGTAACGGCAGTTTCTAGTTCCAATTTTGTAATTTTAACGTGGAAAATAATACATTATGATATGTTCCCCTTGTAACCATTTATCACTTTAAAACACTTATTTTGTAATAATATATATTTTTTTATATTATATGGTATGTAGGAGTTGGCTTAAATGAAATATGTGTCCGTCCCCCCCCCCACCACCACCACCACAAGTGCATTTGAAAAACACTGAGTTGGAATTTCACTGATATTTAATCCCAGTCAAAAGATATAATAAAACAAAGTAGAGACTCCTTTGTCTTAAAGGGACACTACAGTCACAAGAACAACTACAGCTTATTATATCTGTTCTGGTGAGTATAATCATTCCCTTCAGGCTTTTTACTGTAAACACTGCTTTTTCAAAGGCTTTTTCAAAAGGCAGTGTTTACATTAGAGCCTAGGAACACATCTAACGAGCACTAACATTTATGGGAAAGCATTGTAATTTGCTGAAGTAATCAGTTTTTATGATGACTGCCAAGGAAGCAGAACGGGGACGATGCCAAATGTGTGAAGCCCCATGCGGCTCTGGCAAAAGGTGAATACATCACCCTTCAAATGCAAGGTTAGGGGGCACAAACACCTAAATGGTTGTTTTAGAACTATAG